TGTGAGTGTGTGTACCTGTACAGGTGTAGCAGCAGCTGTCTCTGCTCCGGACAGGTGTGTGACACAGAAGCGGAGGACAGGATTCAGAGTCACACAGCACTCTTCCCTGTCGACACGTACAGCTGCTGCACTCGTCCAGACGCCACGTCTCTCCCTCCACATACAGCTCTCCGGCCGGAGCGCGACACACCACCAGATCCAGACCCTCTGGCTGCCCGCTGCCCGACTCGTCTGACACACACACACACACACACACACACACACCTAGTGAGCATTTCATCCTGAGACTGAGGTGTTCTGGTCAGTTTGTGATCTGCATCATTTACTGAAATCAAGCTGCTTCCACACCCTCCAAAAATATCGCAGTGGATAGAAAAACTTGAATCTATTTATAGAATGGAATATATGACACTCCAACTGAAACTGGGCATTTTTATACAAAGGTGGACACCTGTTACTATGTATTTGGACACATTGAAAATGAACGGATCAGTAAGGAACCTTGATTTATTACGTTGTATTATTTGACAATGTTGTATGCGTTTTCTTTCTCCTCTTCTTATTTATTTGTATCTTTTTTTTTCTTTGTCACTGCTGCTGTCAAGGAATGTTTAGTTCATTGTTTGTAATTTGCTTTAATGTATACACATTTTATTTGTGGATTTAACATTAATAGATGGTCTGTAAACCACAACGTAAAACATAATAGATGGAGCTGTAAACATTCTAAAAATATTTTAGAGGTCCTTATATGTACGTTTTTATAATCCATTTGAAAAAATATATTACATATTACGCAGTACATCTGTTATTATAATTTACAAGTGTCATGCTTGTTATTTTATTCATGTAAGCTATAGCTTCTGACCTTTAAATCAAAACAGACTCGTGATTTTATGACATCGATATAGTTTCTTTTATTCAGAAACAGAAGTATCTTAATGTTATTTGTGTATTTTACTTTCATTTTATTACAAGTAGGCCAACAGCGCCCTCTAAGTAAATAAACCTTATCAGCAAGGCATATCGGCATATTGTTTTTCAAATGTTCACATTTTAAGCCTTTATCGGCCGATTCCGATAACGTTCCGATAATATCATGCATACATAGTAACATATTTCAGAACGAATGCTTTTATTCATCAAGGATGCATAAAGTTGATCAAAAGTGCCAGTAAAGACATTTATAATGTTACAGAAGATTTAACTCTTGACTATAAGAGACTGTTTTGTGTGTGGTACCGTCACAGCCGGGGCAGCACTGGTCGGCTCGGAGCACAGGGTGGACACAGGTGGGCACAGGGCAGGTGATCAGCACACACATCTCTCGGCCGGCGTGACAGAAACAGTCTCGGCAGCCGTCGTGCCATCCGTCTCTCTCCTCGAAACGCCGGCCGCTCGCCGTCAGACAGAAGCTGGAGGAGACGGTGATGGAGGCGCTGTGTCTGTCTGCGTCTGAACACCACACAAAAACAACATTATCATAACAATCAAAAGATTTACAAAAGAAGACCATGACAGTAAACATCGTAAAAACTACAGCGAAAGTACAAAACTGCTCAGCCGATTACGTGTAGACCTCGCAAAAAACGTCCAGCTCACAATCCAAACAAAAGAAAAAAATTATATACTTTGCATAAATAAAATACTGTAATGCAATCAGTGATATTTCAGTGTCATTGATATACTACTGTAGTTTTTATTAATATTGAGTTTTTAATTTTATTTAACGTTTTAGTAATTTTGTTGTGTGTTTTTGTCATTTTTACTACTTTTTGTTTTTTGAATAGGTCTATATAGTTTTTATTATTATTATGGTTTTTAATAATATTTTGAGTTTTCGTTTTCATTTTAATTATAGTTAACGTTTTGTAATTTTGTTGTACGTTTTTGTCATTTTTATTAATTTATTTAATGTCTATTTAGATTTGTATTAATTTTGATTTTGGTTTTTATTAATATTTTTTAGTTTGATATTTTCCATTTTCAATTAAATTTTAGTTAACGTTTTAGAAATGTTGATTTTTGTGTTGTGTGTTTTTGTCACTTCAATTAGTTTTTGTGTGTCTAAATAGTTTGATACGTTTTTGTAGCACTTTAACTTAAAGTAAACGAAAATGCTAAATGTTGCTTTTTTATATATACTTTTTTTATTTCAGTTAATGTAAAATTTTATTTCAAGTAACATAAATGTTTTTTTTTTATGGTTTTAGTTTTCGTTAATGTTGATAAGCCTGCATACACTGATTTTTAAAATGTAAATCAGCATAAATGAAAGGCAGTAACAACTATAACTCAATGTATAAATACTTCACTATTTAAATGTCATTATGATAAGATCAGTCTAAAATGATAAGAGTATTAGTGTAATGTGAATATAATATCCTATTATAATTCCTGATTCCTGTCTCCAGCTGAAATAACATCCTCTAAACATCTGATATTTTGCCAATAATGAGTTTATAATTATGCTGTGGATAAACTGAACCAGTTAACCCTTGTGCGACCTTTTGGACATTTTTGGAGTTTTGCTGGCATCTAGTGGGGAAAATTTGGTACTGCGCCCAAACAAACTCTTACTGAAAGCTCATTTTTTGAGATATCAACCTCAAATTTGGAACACAACTTGTTTAGATTTATGGCTTTGATTTTCTAGCAGGTATAGAGTTCAACATGTTTCATAAAATATATATTTTATATAAAATATCGTTCACAAATCATTTTCATAAACTTAAACCTCTAGAACTTTTTTTTGGTTTAAAAAAAAAAAAGTTCAAAAAGTGAGGAACAAATCAGGATTTATTAAGCAGAAAGACATGTAAAAGGTAGTTAGAGTACGCCAACTAAAACACTGATTATGCAAATGTAAAGAAAAATAGGGAATCACAAGAAGCATTAATAATACAATCCAACTGCTTTGTGATAATTCCATTCATAATTCATTAAATATATATTAAAATTAATATATTAATTTGAATAGATTAATATTCATTATAATATAGAAGTGTCAATGTTGTTTTAGTAGTAACTATTATAGTTTATAGTTTAATATTTTGTATTAGGTTTTTATTTAAATATTTTCTGTTTTCTTTTTGATTTTAGTTATAGTTATTTTTAAATCATTTTAAATTTAATTTCATTTTAGAACATAGTTAAACAAAATGAAAAACCTAAAATAAAGTTTTTTTTTTATTTCAGTTAAAGTTTATTTCAAGCAAAGAAAATGTGTTTTTATGGCTTTATTTTTAGTTGTCATTATGATATACGTGTTGTTTCAGTATCATTGATATACTATTATAGTATACTACTAATACTACTAGTTACTATTAATATTTTGATATTATTTTTTATTATATTTTGCTTTCATTTTAGTTTAAGTTTTAACATTTTTTGTGAATTTCATTTATTTTAAATGTTATTAGTTTAGTTATTTTAGTATATCAAGTTAAACTAAACAGCGGAAATAAAATAATTTTATGTTTTTAAATTCATTTTATGCCAGTTATTTATATTTATATTCAATTATTTTATTTTATTTTTTAATTTCAAGTAATGAAAATGTATTTTTTGTAGCAATAGCCAACAATACATTGTATGGGTCAAAATTATACATTTTTCTTTTATGCCAAAAATCATTAGGATATTAAGTAAAGATCATGTTCCATGAAGATATTTTGTAAATTTCCTACCGTAAATATATCAAAACTTAATTTTTGATTAGTAATATGCATTGCTAAGAACTTAATTTGAACAACTTTAAAGATGATTTTCTCAATATTAGATTTTTAATTGACCCTTATGACTGGTTTTGTGCTCCAGGGTCACATATTAAATGTTGGGCATAAACCAGACTCACTCTGCATATTTGTTCCAAGAGCACACTTGAATTTCCTTGCGGTTTTCCACGTTTAAACATTTCTAAATTGCTTGTAGGAACATTCTGTACAGTGAGGCCTCAGATGAAATCTCATGACCTCTGACCTCAAACCGTGAATCTCCTCGTGCGTCTGCGCAGTCACTCACCTTCACACTCGCAGACGCTGCAGCCCTTCCTGCTCTTTCTGAAGCCGCCGCCGCAGTGTTTGTCGCAGGTGAACGGCGGACAGCGGACGCAGCGGCACATCTCACAGCCGTGCTTGTTCCTCCTGTGAGGAGAAACAACACATAAACAACCGGCTCAACCAGCACTAACCAGCATAAACCTGCTGGTTAAGCTACAAAAGCACAGCTCTTGATTCCTGCTTAACGCTCTGACGCACTTCAACTTCTGAAGACGGATGAAAGCACGTCTCACGATACCTCGTAATAATGCAGGACACTTTTATGCTTATATCATCGTGATTCATTAAAGGTTCTGGTCGTTGGGAGCTGCTGCTACACCGGATCCAGATGCTCAAACCGGTCTAACGGCCATCTGGTTCTGTTTTCCTCTGCAGAACATGAGCTTCATGAGTCCAGATAAAAGCAGCACCAGAAACATGATAAAAATATATTAAAATTTTTATTATAAGCATTATTTATAAGTATTTTATTTATTGATTTATTGATTTATTATTAAACATTGCAAAATTCACACACACAAAAATTGAAAACAAGTATGTATTATTCCATTCCAGGTGGATGCTGCACACTGGTGGTGGTTGAGGAGAGACCCCCCACATGATTGTAAAGCGCTTTGGGTGTACAGCAATACACAATAAAGCACTATATAAATGCATCATTCATTCATTCATTCATTC